AAAGGCCTGGAGCTTGCATCTGATTCACACAGGGGCACCGTGCCTCCAGCTGGCAGAAGTCACTGTAAGTTCAGCTGCCAGGAGGGCCCCAACCCTGAGAGGTGAGGACCACTGGGTTTGGATAGGGATGGACCTGCCTCAGGCAGGGGGTTGGACTAGATGACTTCTGGAGGTCCTTCCAGCCCCACTTCTCTAGGATCCCATTTCTTTAGAAGAAGGAGAGTCAGACACTGGCTTGGGACTTGGGAGAGTTGGTTTCAAGTCCTTCCTCTGCTGTTGAGTCCTGGCGTGCCTTGGGGCAAGTCCCTTTGGGGGGAGCCGTCTCACATCCCCTGTGAGATGCTCCCAACCACCCCCTCCCATGCCAGCAAATGCAGTGATAAAACCACTCCCGAGAATCCCTCTGAAATGACTCTGGGGACCCCAGGGGTCTCTCAAGCACATATCCAGGTTTGGGGCATGGAGAAAGAGTGGGTAGGTATGGTGTACTTGGCTCATTGTTCTTCACTACAGAGATATTAATGACTATTTTTCTTTGCTAATGGTCTGGGTGCTCCACTAATCCAGCTAACCTTGCGTAGGGCAATATTACTGTCTGCTAGCTGCTCCTGGTCTCTCTCCTCCTATTTCACAACTGTGAGTACTCGTTAGCTCATTTCAAAAGCCTAGCTCTACCCGTGGAGACCAGTCTTCAGCAGCAGCTAGGGTTTCAGCTTTAGTTAAGCAGTAAAGGGAGGGTGCATTGGCTGAAGGCTGGCTCTGTGAGAGCACCCTGGGAATACACCAGATGCCTCCTCTTAGCCCCTCTGGGGCTCAGTCCCCTAGGGGCAGAGCAGGGAAGACACCAAAAACCAACAGGGGCTCTGGTGCCCTTGTGCAGGGAGTCGCAGGAACCTCCTGAAGTCAAGTTGCCTGTTCCTGCTTAAGGTAAAAGGCAAGGGAGGACAGCTGCTCTGGGGGAAGAGGCTGCACTGCCTTGGGGGAATAAAACAAGACCCTGATATTATAGAGGAGAGGGAAACGCTTGTTTGCAGCTCAGAAAGTGCAGGCGATCGAACGCTTGCAGCAGCTCAGGAGCGAGGCAAAGAGACCCAGGAGGACGGCAGAGGGGAAGGAGAAGATGCTCCACCCAGGCAGTGATTTGAGAAGGAAAGCAAGCCGGGACTGGGAAGCTGAGCTACGATGGCAGCTCTCAGATCCTTTGGGCAACAGGGCTTCTGCTTCAGGACAACTGTGATTTCCGAGGAATGGCAGAAGACCGAGACTGAGAGCAAAGGGCCTGGAGGACACCGGAGGTCCTCTTTCCAGCCTCACGCCAGACTGGCTGTGCACATCACTTCTTTCTACCTCAGTTTCCCCATCTGTCAAGTGGGTGAGGTGGCCACGTGGAGGAGGCTAACGTGACTGTGCCCTTCATCCCCAAGCTAATCCCAGATTCAAAACCGCACCCCTTTCACTCAGCCACAGATTCGTAAATCAGGAAACGGTATCACGGTGATGCCCTGGCCAAGGTGGTCCAGAAATGATGAGAGAAGGAGACCTGATGAAGAACATTTTGCATTTAAAACTTTATCCCAGCTGTGTAGTGGGTCCAGAAAAAGAGACCACCTAAAGAAATCCTTGCTTCTTGCAACCATCATGAAAGAAACTGTCCTGTATCACGCAACCAGGATCCAACATAAATGCAGTGTATTCACCCCCTTTCCCCCTCCCAATTTGTGTGCACTGGTTTCAATCATAGCATCTCGTAGTAGGGTGTGGAAATAGCACTGTGTTGTCAGTAGTCACCAAATTTATCCCGCAAGCTGCCCTGTTCCCCTTAGAAATCGGCACAGGGGAGGATGCTAAACTAGCCATGTTTCTTCAGAGCTGAGCTGGCTTTCCCCCTGCCTCCCAGGATGATTTCTGCATTTTGCATTAGGGGATAAAATAGATGAGCGGTCCTGACCCCAGGGCCCCACTTCTCTCAGGTGCGTGCCCGAACTGCTGAGCTGCTGCCATGCCCGCCTGCTGCCTCTTGTGCGCATCGTGTGGTCGGATTTATCTTACATTGCAGGCATTGGTGTCTTCAGGACCACCATGTTGGACATAGGTGCCTACATCTCAACTAAATCCCGTTTTGGGTGCACGCATCCTTTCACCCTGCTCTAACCCTGTGCTGGTCCTTCTTTCACCCCCACGGGCTGAAGCCAGAGGCTGTACTTCCTTTGGAGCTAGTTGACATCTCAGTCCCTGTAACATCACCACGCTTGAGAGATGCTTCCCTTTCTGGTACCACTGGCCACTGCTGGGTCCTTATTGCTGCAAGCCCCACTTGCGATAGTAGTGGTAAGTACCACTTGCGGTACCTACGTACTCACCCGCCCAGCCTTGTTTCCCTAGCAAGCAACACACAGGAGCAAGGAAACCCCTAGCCATTGCAAGACTTCATTGCATCCCTGCAGGCCTAATAATATAATGATGGGTGTCAATGCACCACTGCCTCATACCAGGTAAAATCAGAGCGCTTCCTAGGCCTGACTGGGATCTACGGTGCTGCGCAGGTGGAGCATCACTGGAATGAGATGCTTTTCCTCTGTCTGTTTGATCCCTTTGTAACGAAGTTGCTTGCTGGAGCTGACACCAAAGCTCCTTCTCCCTCCAAGAGAATCTGGTTTATTTTTCCAGGGGCAGATCAACAGGTTGCAGGCCATCCCCAGAGGCCTTGGCTGTTGTCTTAGTTTGCAGTCAGTGCTTTCCCTTTCATCCCATTTCATTTCTCTGTTGCATCCCATCCATTCATCCCATTCATTTCTTAGTTTCATCCCATTTCATTTCTTAGTTTGCAGTCAGCTCTTTCCCTTTCCTCCTGGTGCCATCCGGGGGCTGAATGCACGCCTTTCCAGGAGGGTAGAAAATTATTCAGAGCGACAGCGGCATCAAAGATCATTCTCTGCCCAGCAGTGTCTCGACTCTGTCCGACTGCAGTGTTGCACCGAGCTGGCGGCTGCCTTTGGGGACCAAGAAAAGCCCGTTATTTCTATCACTGTGTATTTTTCCTGCAGAACAGATCAGCCCCCACCGAGGTACTGTGCTCACAGACAGCACGTGGGGCTCCTGTGGAAGTCAACAGCAAATCTACAGTGTGTGTTGCTTCTTCCTTCCTTTGGAGCCCCTTCCCCCTCTGTGCAAGTGGCCCAGCCTGATAAATAATTCCTTTTCTTTCCCTGCAGCCTCATGTTTTATTATCAAGAAAACCGATGCTGCAAGAGGGACCTGGATTTGCTGTCTGAAGTAAAATAACCTTCTGGGACTATACAGAGCATATCAACAACCTACCAGGAGGCTTGATCTTGTCGGCTCCTACCCACCGCTGCCCCCTTCTCCAGGTGGCATGCAGTTCTTGCGGTCCTGATAGAAACCAGATCTTATTCAGAGCTCAATGAAGAGGTTGTGCCTGATCTAAGAGCCAGTCTCGCAGTTTGGTAGGGCTGAGTCTCTGTTGACAGAACAGATCGTGCTTGGGATCTGGGAGAACAAGGCGGCAGACAGATTACTGCAAGGGCCAGCCTTAAACGCTGGGCAAAGCAAGGAGAACTGGCTGTGCAGAGGAAGTCGCCCAGTCCAGGTGGAGGTAGCAGAGAACGGACAGTTCCCTGATGCTCTGGACAGAAGAGAGCACCCTAAAATACTACAAGGAAAGGGAACTGGGACAGAAAGGCAAGTATTGCTCAGATGCTGGAGTCTCCCAAAACCAGCACGTGGAGCTGTACCTGCTTTGGACAATGGCACAGGTCAAAGCAATGCCCAGGAGATGGAGAAAGGTCCAACGGTTTAGATCACATTTCAACAGTGCAAGCACTCACTGAAGATGCACAGCAAGGACACAGGGGATGCCGACAACATCCATCGCTCAGAGAAATCCCTCATGGGAGCAGAGGACCCTGGTACAGCAGCAGCTGAATGGAGGATCAGTCTGGAAGCACATGGGACACTTACTGCTTTTTGAAGTTGGACAAAGCACTTTTGGCTAGAACCGGCGCTGATGCCACGGAACAAAACACCTTTGACAGCAGGAGATAAAGAAAGGAAAGTCAAGGTTATCCCTAGGAATGAATCCTATGGATAAAAACAAACTACAGCCATACTAAGTGCAGTTGTGCCCGGAAAAAACAGGACCCAAGGCGTGCGTCTGCACATTCATTAAGCAGCTGCAGTTACTGCGCATTAAATTTAGTACTTGGATAACCAAGTACTAAATCAATGCACAGTAACTTGTGCTACTGTGCAATAGTGTGGGCACATGGGTTTTTTTGGATGTTAACTGTGCAGTAGCCTAATACTACTGCGCAGGAGCGTAATAGCACGGGTTTTGTCCGACCCGCTACTACATAGTATTATTATTATTCGAACTTGCTGCGTGGCTCAGACCCTTGGTTGTTGAGTTTGTCTTGAGAAGGTAGCAAGTTCAAGATTAGGGTGTATGCCTCGGCAGTCAGCTGGGAAATGGGGCCCATGATCTTACGAGGTCCCTTCCAGCCCTAACATCTATGAAATTAGGCTACTGCCTAATAGTATCTTATGTAGACGCACCCAGGATTGAATTGAAAGAGTGCATCAACCAAGGCTGCATTCAGCGGAGGGACAGCAGACCAAGACGACCGAGGAAGGTGTGGAGGCCTAAGAAAACTCAACAAAATGCAGCACCGAACTCAGCCAGCTCACGGCAACTTCCCCTGGCACTGAGGCCGAGGCAACAAGAACTGCTGTATAGACTCATTGGCTCTGGGTATCGTAGCACGAGAAGCACCCTTACTTCTGACTGCAGAAAGAAAAAAGGATCGGGGGTTCCCCTGAACAGAGCTCCCAGGAATTAAATGAATGCACAAAAGGGAAACCTTTGCTGCTGCCTGCAGCGAGAGTGAAGCCCCTGAGTCCTTCTAAGGATCTGGATTATGTCAGTCTGAAAACGGGCCATAGGCTGTGTCCCACTGGCCATTTTGAAGAGGTGTCACAATCCAATGCACCGGCATGGGTTATTATTAGGGGAGCCACATGCTTCTGGGCATTGCACGGGGGGCCTTCCAAGTGAGATCCCCTGCTCCAAGTGTGCGTGGGAGGGGACGGGGGGATGAAGCCAACCTTCTGGCTTCTGCCTGCTGCTGGCACGGAGGAAACTGGATCTGCCTGAGTTTTACAATCAAAGCTGACTGTCTCCATGTTTTGCCGGTGCTTTTTGATGATGTCTTAGCGGGTGGGCTGCCTCTGGGCATGTTGGGCAAGATGCTTTGCGAACTTGGCAGGATTGTTAGACCTGGATTTTGCCCTTGGGGGCTGACAGACATCACCCTGCACCTGGCAGAGATACTACAGGAGGTGTCTGCATGCAGCGTGCAGGCTGCCAAGGCATTCAGCTGGAGAAGAAGGCGGTGAGCTCAGTTGGGGCTGGTTGCTCTGCTAGAAAGAGAAGACAGGAGCGATAACACAGGGCTGGGCCCCATGAGGTGTTGAGATGTGATGGAAGGGTGCCAATGGTCATGAGCCCTCCTGATGTCTAAGTGAGCTAGGAGCACTGCACACCTGCAGAAATGCAGGATCCTTCTGCGTCTCAAGCACCAGGGGCTGGGAGACCCCCAAGAAGCCATTTTTTGCTGCTGTTCTTCATGCCCCGGCTCTGGGATCTGGAGTCAGTGATCTTTGCCAGACCCTAGGACTATAGAGAGCTCTGCATAGCCCTGAGCCAGACTTCTTGGGCATTTATACATGTGCTCTGGGAGGTGGGGGCCAGGGGGGAGGGTGTCTTAATTAAAGCTCTCTGAGCATCATGTGTATCAGCATAGAAATGGGGGTGCTTTAACTGAAGCTTGTCGAACAAGCTTTAGTTCAAGCACCGCCACTACCATTTTTCAGCACGGGGACACTGATACGTGTGACTCTGAAGTCTGCTGGAGTGCAATAATTACCGCGCTCATCGAGTCTGCTCTGACATGTTGTAATTACAGCGTGTCGGAGCAAATGCACATGTATAGGTGCCCTATGTTCTCTCACTGGAGCCGGCAGGAAGAGTCTTCGCTGTTCCCTCCATCTGCTTCTTTGCAGGGGAGGGAAATGAAGCAACGGCCCCTCAGCTGGGCCTGAAGCTTCAGGTTTTTGCTAGGAGGACACAAAAGCACTTCAGCAGCTCTTGATTTTATTTGCTAGCTTTCAGGCACACTCGCCCTTCATCGGGCGTCGGAGAGAGCAGGGACTGTAAAAGTTCTCCTAGGTAGAAATGAAAATCCATGTTTCACACGGGAGCTGAAGGGGTGGTAAAGACTCCTGTTTGGAATAGTTCATTTTGTCCAGGTTAGGCACAGAGAAAGGTTGAAAAAGTCTTTCAAAGGTGTCTGGCAAGCTGGATATAGAAGTACATTTCCTTCAGGTTAGGATGTTTGATATTTCACAGAACGGTAGAAAGATGGAAAGCTCTTCTCGGCAGGCATTTCTTTTGTGGTGAGGTGTCTGTGCCCTGTGAGATGATGCAAATTTGCTCCAACAATGGCAAGATCCTGGCGTTAGCATATCAGGTGGTAAAAATGCTTCCTCCCTGTAAAAATCAGCATTTCTGGTGGTAAACCACTTCCTTCTTGTAAAATTATGAACTTTTCATTTTAAAAAAATGGCTAAAATTGGATATCTTCTAGGTGTCAGGTAGCAAGAAGGTATCAAGAAGGAAGCATTTTACTACCCAAAACCTCCGAGATATTTAGGGGCCTGTATCCCATTGATCTCCATGAGTGTTAGATGCCCAGACAGGAGCTATGGGCCTAGTGACTGGTCATGTCCTGTGCTTTGGTTGTGTGATGCCCAACTTGCAGCTAAAAGAGGCCTGAGAGGCAGAGACTCGAAGCTCAGCACCTCCTGACCCTTTACAGCGTCTCAACCTGGAGTCTCCAAACTATGTCTCCTTTGGAAAATCCTGGCTCATAGCCTCAGCTCAGGAGCCATGAGTTCAGGTTCCTCAGATGCGCTCTCTACAACGGCCTTACCTTAAAAAGCAGATGGAAGTAGCCCTGAGGATGCTGCAACAGGGATTTCAACACAACTGAGTGCCACAAAACTGCGACAGCCCTGTCATCTGGAGACAGGCTGGAGATGCCTGTGTTCTCTGTCTGCCTGTGCCACTGTAGAGCCATTGAACTGCTTTGCAAGGGGATTATGGCAATCAGTTCACTGCTGGTTGTAAATCTCTGCTAAGTGTCATTAATAGCAGATCCTTGTGGGTATTTAGCAGCCTTTCTCCTGGAGCACTTCTCTGCAGTGTTTTCCAGGTAAGTGGCTCAGACAGGAGTCTCAGTCACTTGGCAGACAAGGGTCTTTGGGTCAATCTGATCTCTTTTATTAGACCAACTCAATAGTTGGGAAAAGTTTTCAACTGTTTAGTTGATCTAATAAAAGAGATCAGATTCACCCAAAGAACCTTGTCTGCCTATGTGCTTAGACTAACATGGCTATAACCTACACCTCAGTCCTTTGGGGCATTTCTCTAGATTTCCATTTGAAAGGAAAGGAACCACTCTTGGTTGCACCCCTCCTCCCCGAGGAGAAAGACAGTCATCTCAGGATGCAAAGCCTTTGATGTGGCTCCCGTCATTTGTAAATTCACTGCCTGTTTGAACTGGTCTTGCGAAGCACTCAGTGCCATCAATGCATTGTACAGCAGACCCTCTAGCCCCAACCCGGGGAGCCTCCAAAATCCCAGGAAAGCGTGCCACATTGAGTGTGCCCAGGAGAGCGTGCCACCCTGGAGAGCAGGGTACAAGCTATGAGAAGTTCGGACAACGCGGTGGTATGGATGGATCAGGCATCTGAAGCTGATGTGTGGATCCTCTTCCTGCTGTGTTGCTTTCATAGCTAGATTTCTAGCTAGGTCAGGGTCTTTGGCGGTGATGAGTATTCACAACTCCCACCAAAGTCACTGGGGATTTTGCTGCTCAGCACCTCTGATCACCAGCCCATGTGGGGTCCTCCAAGAGCTCCTGGTTCAGGGAAGGGTCTGAGTTACTGATGCAGGAGGGCATGGATGACAACCCCAGATCTCAGGAGCCTTGAGGGCTGGGGTGGTTTGCAATACAGGCCTCCTTTCCCCACAAGAATGGGCTGAAAAAAGACCCAATGGGGTCTAGCAAAGTCCTTGGAAATGCTCCCCTTGGTATCAGATCAGGGCTTCGCCCCAGACATAACTGGCCTGCAATTTGAGAAGCTGAACCCACATCCCAGTTTTGCAGCCTGGGGCTTGTTCTTGCAGCTTTCAGTACAGCCATGACAGCTCACAAGAGCTCAGTGGTCACGTTTTGCAAGGGCTTATGCTGCCCTGTCAGCCTTAGCAGACTCAGAACTCAGGAATCCCCGGTCTCAGTTTCCAAATGATGGGGTGGTCCCAGTATTTGGGGCCCCAGATGTCCATCTAGCACAAAACCCCATTGGAACAAAAGGGCGGTGACTGCATTTTCAGGCTAGATGAGACGTGCTCCACCTTCTTAGACTGAAGGCGCTCCCTTGTTAGACTCCTTGAAAATCCCCAGCTCTTAGCTGTCAGCCATTTCTCAACTACCGAAAAATAATAGAGCACTTCTCCTGTTGCAAAGAACTCAGCAAGCTCACAGCAGGTGAGCCTGTTTTGGACATTTGAGATTCCTATTTGAAATCGCTGGGTTTATCTTGTGAATCAGGTGCACACTAATACTAATACTGCATACCCCCCACCCTACAACACCCTTAAAAGGATCTCACAGTACCCCAGGGTGCTGCAACATCCTGTTGAGAATCAGCGGTCTAGATCTTCAAGCCACTGTCTGGGCCTTTGCACAGGATTTGGGCAGGCAGGCAGCGTGTAACTGTGCGCTTTGGGTTCGGCTCCAAATCGCAATCAGCTTTCCTAGAAATGGAGTGGCAGCAATACAGGTCCGAGAATATTGCAGGGCCCTCTTTTCTGCGTGCTGCCCCTTTACGGTCTGCAGCAGGCAGCTGCCGTTCTGCACCCAGGTGCAACGCAGCATGTTACAGAGAGGAGAGATGCAACCTGTGCTCTCCCCAGGGGATTTTACTCTGGTTCTTTCTCTCTGTGTCCCCCTTATCTCATATGACATCTAATTAGTGTATAGCCCCTCTCTGTGAAGTGCAAACACAAGAGCAAAGGGGAGGCTGACACGGAGAGCCTGTTGTTCCTCAACCAGCAGCGCATGACGTGCGGCACACCTTTATAGGAGGCTAATTGTCGATCGAGTGAGGGAGTGGCAACTTTCCATCTCCATTGTTCAGCCTTTTCTGGTCACACGAGACTGTAATTTTTGTAATGACATCTTTATTGACTCTCACTTGGTTCAGTGGTAAGATAGAAACAAGAAGTGAAACCACAAAAATACAAATCACTCATTGATCATGTAATAGCACTTGGTATTGCCAAAATGGTAGGGCATGAGACACTTCCCTCGGGGGACAATCAAACCCTTTGCGGATGCTGGACTGGGTCTGCAGGTCACAACGATGGGGACTGGCTAACCCAGGGGATCTCTGTAGTGCAACGGAGAGAGTGAGACATGCAGCCGTGCTGGGAGTTGTAATCCAGCTCCCTCCAGTAATGCCTTCTGGTCCTCTCTAGGGTGCACAGAGGACCAGGACCCTTATCCCTAATACAATCTTCCACTTTATGTTCCTAGAGACTAATTCCAGAGACCGAACCTGCTGCTATAGCCATCTTACTTTTGTCTTCATTGTGGGCTCAGCACCAAGGGGGTCCTTCTGTCAGTGCTGGTTAAACTGCTTCTGCCCCTGGGGACTTGCATGGAAGTTTGCAATGACCTTAATGCATGTGGTTTTGCTTCCCGTAGGTTTGCTGCAGGTTTGAGAGCCCTCAAGTCTAAACTCAGCGTTTTTTCCTGGCTTTGGAGCTAGGAGAGGCTATTTGAAACCAGACGCTGCCTGGCTCAGCAAAGCCACAGATAGAGTTGGGGGGAAGTGTTCAGGCTCATTTTGGCTAAAAAATGTGATTTTGGTTTGACTAGAACTATACATTTCAGGGTCAGGATTCCTGCGTAGGTGCAGGCGGTTGAACCAGATGACACCCAAGGGCCTTATTGTTACAGGAACTTGGGTAGAAAATTCACCCAGAAGAAAGGGAACAAAAATCTACAAGAAGATGAAATCATCCTGACTTATTCCTTGGCAGAACACAGGGCTGAGGCCCAAAGTTGGCAAAATTTATTTGGAAAATATAAAAGTTCTATCAAAGAACCCCACCAAATACCTTTCCTTTTCGGTCAAGTCACATTTTTACCCGCCAAATAAATAGTATTGAGTTTTTTTTAGTTTGGCTAAAATTGTAAAAGTTTTTTTTATTATTTGAAACACAACCTGATTTGTAATTATTAGGATTTTATCCAGGCTGTCGCCAAGCTGAAGGATCATGAGTCTAATCAGAAAGCAGGTCTAGAACATACCCTGTATTTTGTCTGTGGGACAGGACCTGAAGTTGAGGGAGCTGGATGAGTTTTCTGGGAATTGAACCAGATGCTGCTTGATCGGTGATGGTGCAACCGGGCCCCAGCGCTCTATGCCACAAACACTTGGCAGTACTCGTCCTTGCAGCGTGACTCTCTCTCCCTGTCTACTACCTTGGACCCCTCCTTGTAAGAGAGCAAAGGCACCAGCTGAGACTGGAGACATTTCCTTTGCGCCAGCTCCAAGCTGGGTAAGCTGGCATAGCACCATCTCGTTATCTCCAGTCCTTCTACGGGCCCCATCACAGCGATGCTGAGCATCTCGCAACCTGTGATCCCCTCTGGGAGATAGGGAAGTGCAATCATCTTTACCGTACAGATGTTGGAGCTGAGGCAAAGATGCTACCAAGGCCCAGCCTAAGGACCCGCGGCGAGGATAGGAACTGACCCCCCGTTTCCTCTAGGCCTGTCTTAGCGCTCCAAACTCTCAGTCGTTTTCCCCCGGTTGAGGATCTGGCGTTTTGTCAGCTAAATCCACCCTCCGCCCCCCAACTTTAAAGTGTCTGACCCCACTTTTGATTCTGCTGGTGAGTAACAGAAACAAACAAATAAGAACAACGGCGACGTACCTTTGGGGTCATTTTCTCCACATCTGCAGAAGACAATATTTCAACCCAAAGTTTTACCCTGTTTTGTCCCCTGTCCTCAAGGCCATCTAGTGGAGAGGCTGCTGGTGAGGCCTTTTGGCTGTCGTGGCAGTGAGCACGGTCACAAAAAAACCCTCAAACCCTAGACAGATTAGACTAGAAATGGCGTGGATCACTCTTGTGCATCCCCGAAGTAGCGAGGGGTGGTCCACACGACGTATAGCAGCCTACTGCTGCTGCCTGCTAATGGAGAAGTGTCTCTTGCTCAAGTTGTGGAGTTCAATGCTTTGGTGTGAAAGAAAGTGTGGTCCTTGCTGCTGAAGTGCTGGGAGGCTCTTATCTTTGCAGTGAGAGGTTTGCTCGTTTGTCTGATAGGAATTGGTTGGGAAGTCCCTCGGAGTCCATCGCTGTCTCTCCCGGGGAAGGAGCAGCTTTTGAGGCTTGCGCCATGTATGTCATGTAACGGGAGGCCAGGTGCAGTCATCAGCACTGACATCCTTCTCTACTGGAAAAAGCAGTGCCTTTTGCCTAACAGCTAGAAATCCCAACCCATCTCCTAGCCAGTAAACACAGCAATATCTTTCTCAACCCCTGGCAATTGAAATCGTGAACCACAGCTACGATGACTTCACCCTTATTGTGCTGACTTCAACTTTTTACAGCCACCGAGTGAGTCATTAACGGTACAGAAGCAAGACTCGGCTTACCGCCATCTTAAAAATGCAGTTTTTTGGGATAAACTCGGTCTGTACTCACTTAGCCATTCACTATGGGATGGCTGCAAGCTAGCCCACTTGTTTTCCTGGAAGCTTTTTATTTTTTTTCCAGTCAAAAAAGGCATTGAAATGATATTATTTAATGAAAAAAAAGCATTTAAATCAAATGAAAAAAATTCTTGTTCATTGACATCTTCTGGTGTTTGCTAAAACTTGGTTTTCAGTAAAAAAAAACAACCTGTTTTGCTCCCCACCTTGAAAATATTGCTAAAACCCAACAATTGGAGGCAGGCTGAGTTTTTTTTACCAAACCCCCCCCCGAAGATCCTAACTAAAAATAGTTTACGGGAATTTTTTTTTTTCTTTTTTAAAAGAACTTTAAAAAAAAATCCGGGAACAAAAAAGTATTTGGTATTTTTGACCCCTGGAAAACAAATGTTCGCTTTTGATTATAGGATCCGGACTCAGCATTTCTACCTTCATCCCACCGATGTCCATGGAACTGCTTGCATGTCTAAGTGCGAGGGTTATCCGATCTGCTCCAAGTCTGAAGTCACATTGGAACAGGCTACTGGAAGGGCTACTGGGATGGGAGCCTGTCTTATGAGAGGAGGCCAAAGCAGCTTGGCTTCTTTAAGCCTAGCAAAACAAAGGCCAAGAGGACATTATTGCCCCCTCGAATATATGAGGCGATAAGCACCAAGGGGGAAGATCTCTAAGCTGAAGGACAGCGTTGGCACAAATGAAAATGGGTACAAGCTGGCCATCAATGAATTTAGGTTGACCATTACACAAAGGTTTCTACGCACCGGAGGAAGGAGGTCATGGAGCCGTGCAACCAAAACATCGAACCATGGAGCTTGCACAGCACCATTGCCGACAACAGCCGGGTTTGGACTTGATGTCCTAGGCAAGTGGTTCTCAACCTTTTTGGACTCGAGGCACCCCTCACTGCACTGGTGGCCCCCTCCATAATGTTGGGAATTGAGTGGCACCCAATTTCAAAAACAAATGTATATGGTACAGGGCTTACCTCCTTACACAGGGGCTGGGCAGTAAGGGTCAGGGATTGTCCAGGCAGGGACAAGCCTGAGTCGGGCTTATTCGCTTAGCTAATCTGCTTACCATCTCACACTTTGCAAAGGATCTGGCAGCCCCCTAGGGTGCCCTGGCATCCTGGTTGAGAATCACTATCCTAGGAGCTCCCTCGCAGTCCTGTATCCTCTGTTCTTCTGCTCCTATACATGCTAATGGTCCAATATCCAACAGCACCGCAGAGCAGAGCACTGCGTCATCGCTACAGGTCACCGCAGCATCACTCCTGTGGATCTATCATTCCCCACGGTGGTCCCGGAGGACGTGGTAAGAGGTCCGCCGGTTGTACCGTCTCCCCTTCCAACCCGACGTTTGATTATAAGGCTCCATGGTGGTCTGCGAGACATGTTGAGGGCTGCCCATGCTGTGTTGGTCCAAAGAAGTTGGAAATCACTGGGTTATATATTTGAATGAAGGATGAATTTAAGAATGGCCACCAGCTCATGCAAGACCCCCCTCCTCAACCAGACAGCATGACAGGAGGGCTGCATGCATGAAGGGTGGCTGGCTTGCTGCAAGGGGGTTTGGTTCCTTCTTGAGCCGTTTCTTCCCATTCCCACTGTTTCCTGTTACATGGTAGTAACATCTTGGATCTATTAAAGCCCTAATCATCCAAGAGCAGAAGCCCAGCCACGACCTTGTCTTTTCTTTTCTCAGTCTTAGTGGACTCTGATTGTCTTATATACAATACAGAATTTGCAATCAAAGGCACGAATGTGCTGGTGCCTCTGCCCTCTGCTATCCACCAGAAGACCTCTCTCCTAGCTGATGTGCAACAGGTTGATAGGGGAAGCCGATCTGGTAAGTAGCTGAGGACAATGCTGGTTTGGTGCAATGCGTAGGGACCGATGGGTGGCACCTGTCTGTCTAGGGAGAAGGGAGGGTGCTGACACACAGGGCCATATTCAATGAGGACTAAGATGGGACAGAAATGGGGCTAGCCAACCATCTTGACATACACAACAGGCACTGCCTGGCAGTAAGCGGTCTCTCTCTGCGAGCACACGTTCACTACACATCAGAAACGACTTTGCACTGGCTCTCCGTAGCAGCGCATCTCACCTTGTTTTTCCAGTCCTTCCTGGTTACTCTAATCCCTATAGTAATCCCTGCTTCATCCTTGAGCTGGCTTCTTCTCTGGATATTCCCACACTGATGCTCCACTATCTTCTGCTGACGGTAGCTGAGGCTGTGGAGCTCTCCCCCCATCCAGCAGAATTGCACCGGGTTGAGTATTCGGACCATCACAGGAGTGAAATATGTCTCCCTTTGCCTCTTATGGTGGTCCGGGGATAATTGCCTCTTACAGCTGCGGGTCAGGAACATTTTACTGCCTTGATCGTAGTGCACGGGCCGTTGCTGCCCACTCCAAATGGCTGTATCAGCCTGGAGCATGCCGTACGAGAAGGGAAGATGTAACGGGCTTTGCTGCAGCGCATGGAGCCACTTATGCACATAGTCTAAGCAAGCCCGGCCTCTCTGCCTTTCATCTGGGGGGTCACGCATGACAGAAATCCATTATTCCTCAGGCCAGTGGGAGCCCTCCCACTGGAAATCAGCTTCCTAAGTAGGAGAGCAATACTAGACCCTCGACAGAGCAGCTGCATTTATTTTTTAAAGGTGGAGCTGGGTGGACAAAAAGGATCAGAAAAGGCATTTGGGCTCTGGCCTGGCTGCACTCCTCACCTCCGCTGTGACTGATGAGTAGCTGAGATGCTGAACCATCTCTTGGTGCCCTGCAGATCACTCTGGAGATGCTGACATGGCACCGAGGCCTCGTGGGATTTTGCTTCCTACAGGGCATGCTTACTGCATGTGCTTGACTCAGATGCCCTTCCCGGTTCCAGCGTCTCTAATTCCCCAGGTAATCTGCCAGCTTCTCCGTGCCTTCTCAAGACTGGGGCCTAGTTGCTTTGCCCCAAGAGCAGATGGGGGGTTCCTCTCCATTTTTTTTCCCTCCCCACTGCTCCCTCTTTGCACCTGGCCGATGGGTGGAGAGACCCCTGTCCTCCATCCCTCCGACCAGTGCTCCTGCCTCCCCCCCCGACCCTAACACAGCGAGAACCTGCGGGAATTGATGTTCATCTTGGTGACCCCGATGAGCTTCAGGGGCGTGGACAGACTGAAGGAGGTCACGAGCGGGAAATCGCAGAAGAGGTCGGAGAGCTCGTCCCTCTCCTCCAGCTCGTAGGTGGCATCGTTGAGCATGCGCTGGTGCAGGTGGCAGGTCTGCTCGATCTTCAGCTTGTTGATGTCGCTCCGCAGGCGCATGAGCTGCCTTGCCAGCTGCTGGTCCTGGAGACGCATTTCTGTCTGAAACACAGAGGCGGGGGGGGGGCGTGGTATCAGTGCATGCACGCACACAACACGCTTCCACCGACACCAGCTACTGCCGGTGTCCGGCGAAGACGCACAGCCAGGTCTTATCATACAAGCATTGAAAATTAAGGTTTGGATGGTACCTCAGGAGGTCACATCTAGTCCAACCCCCTGCTCCAAGCAGGACCAGCCCCAACTCCATCATCCCAGCCAAGGCTTTGTCTATGCAGGTCTTAAAAACCTCCAAGGATGGAGACTCCACTACCTCTCTGGGTTACCTGTTGCAGTGCTTTCCTGCCCTCCTAGTAGAAAGCCCTCTAATATCTAACCTCAACTTCTCTTTCTGCAGCTTGAGCCCATTGCTCCTTGTTCTGTCGTCTGCCACCACTGAGAACAGTCCAGCTCCATCCTCTTTGGATCCTCCCTTCAGGGAGTTGAAGGCTGCTATTAAATCCCCACTCAGTCTTCTCTACATTAAATAAGCCCATTTCCCTTCACCTCTCCACATAAGTCATGTGCTCCAGCACCCTAACCATTTTCATTGCCCTCCACTGGAGTCTCTCCAACTTGTCCACATCCTTTCTGTAGTGGAGGGTCCCAAACTGGACACAGGACTCCAGATGTGGCCTCCCCAGTGCCTAATAGAGGGGGAAAACCATTTCCCTTGATCTGCTGGCAACACTCCTACTAATGCAGCCCAGTATGGCCCAGTTTTCTGGGGCAGCTGCCTGCAGTAGATACTATTATAGTGCCTTGCAACTAGGTAAAAAAGAGCCAGAAACAGTCCCTGATCAACTGGTTTCTCTGGGATGACTTTATCATATTTTCTTACCTAGAACACACACTTTTCCCAAAAACCAGCTGTTGCATGCATTAGCTGCAAGACATATGATAAGAGCTGTTTCAGCCAGTTACTGGGTAAAAGTGATGGGGACTCAGGAGGAGCAAAATACTGAGCAGGCTCAGCTCCCCAGCTGCTGCTACTCCGATACTTACTACAGGGAAAAATCTTTTTGTCTTCATTCAGCCTTTTGAAAAACAAGGTGTGCCTTTTATTCAGGGGCAGGTTGTAGGTGAGAAAATCTGGTAATTATAGCTACAGGTACATGGTCTGTCAACTGGAATCGCTTACACTGGTGAATAGCTACTCCGGATTATCTCAGGGGTACCTTTACTCCATAGCGGAGTGACTACCCCCAGCTTAGGGTCTGCTCCACATTTGCACAGGCTTAAAAGCACGCTGGTATTGCTCCTTAAAGGCAGCCCTCCGAATCCCCGCAGCTTCCAACTGTGGTTTCACGGGGCCCAGTTTAATTTATTTTTAAGTGAGCAGCAATTACGAAAGGCAGCAATTAGAGGCAGCAAAGATCCTCTAAGAGTTCCCAAAGGAATTTTTCCTGACGGCGTGGGTCAGCTCCCCCGCTGCTCTCAATCAGCGTTGCTCCCAGAAGTTACATCAGTTTGCACCAGGTTCGATTTTGGCCCACCGCCTTCTCCAGTGACTTGTCCCACCCAGTTTGAAGTGGCTTCAGTGATGGAGCTAACGCAGATTCCCACGGGAAAGACTTTCCCGCATTCCAGCGCAGCTCGCTGGTCCGTAGTTTTTTTTTGCCCCCCTGATGCCTGATCTTGATTAAAAAAAAATGAGAAGGAGGTGATTTTTCCCTCTGCATATCATTAAGCGGTGAACCCCTTGCCGCAGGGCATCAGGGGAAATGGGCAAAAATTTTCAAAAAGGAGTCAGTCCAGGGACTGCAAATGCCAACCTACACTTTCCTTCTGCAAGGGGCCGAGGCCATTCTGCAAGGCTTGGAGACCAGGTTGAAACCTCATATAGGGACTGATCATCCCCCATGATGATCTTCCAAGGTCCCTTCCAGCCCTAATGTCTATGAATCCATGAATCTCTTTTTGTATAAGACAGCTCCCCAAACCGCATGGGTTGTAATGCTTACCTCGGCCCCCTCCTGTCTGACCCTTCATCCATTACCAAGAGGCCCAGACCAGGCACAGCACATCCGACCACGTATTTCATGAAGTCTAGATATATGACATCCACATCATCTCCTTTGTGCAGTCCTAGCCCACTACAGGTCTCTACTCCTGATGTGTCTCAAAGGGGTTTGCTGAACCAAGAACGCAAATTAGAGCAGCCACGGGGTTGCTATAACCCAAAATGGCCGGCTACTCTGATTTTCCAGGACTGTCCTGAATTTTGGGGCTGCTCCTGAAACTGGACTTGGATCCTGAATTTGAAGTAATTTATCTTGGATTAGCCCATTCTTACTGCCACAAATGTTGTCAGAGTGCCAGGTAGCATCCTGCTGCATCTCCTGAGAAAGCTGCCTTGTACCATCTGACCCCGGCTGGGCTATCCTTGAAATGGGAAGCAGTATCGCTGTGTTAATACAGCCCTGCACCTGCGCTAATTAATTCTCTCAGCAGCAGTAGTTAGTCAGGCTGCTGTGCGGCACCAGGACACCAGACACGAATGAGATCTGGAAGGGGTATAAACTCCTTTGCTTTTAAAGGTCTATAAAGTGTTAGAATCAGAAAACGAGGTTTGGACGGGACCTCAGGAGGTCACATCTAGTGCAAACCCCTGCTCAAAGCAGGACCAGCCCCAACTACATCATCCCAGCCAAGGCTTTGTCTACCTGGGTCTTAAAAACCGCCAAAGATGGAGGCTCCACCACCTCTCTGGGTAACCTGTTCCAGTGCTTTACTACCCTCCTAGTGAGACAGTTTTCCTAATATCCAACCTAAACAGCCCTTGCTGCAACTTGAGCCCATCGTTCCTTGTCCTGTCATCTGCCCCCACTGAGAGCAGTCCAGCTCCATCCTTTTTGCAACCCCCCTGCAGGGAGGTGAAGGCTGCTATTCAATCCCCCCAAATCTTCATTTCTCCAGACTAAATCAGCCCAGTTTCCTCAATCTCTCCCAGCCCCGAACCATTTTCATTGCCTTCCATTGGACTGTCCAATGTGTCCACATCCTTTCTATAGTGTGGGGCCCAAAACTGAACACAGGACTCCAATGTGTCCTCCCCAGTGCCTAATAGAGGGGGAGAATCATTTCCTTTGATCTGCTGGTGGCACACCTACCAGTGCAGCCCAGGATGCCATTAGCCTTCTTGGCAACAAGGGCACACTGCGGGCTCGTATTCAGCTTCTTGTCCACTGTCACCCTCAGGTCCTTCAGTCCTTTTTTGCAGAGGACTAAGGATTCTGTTCTGGATTTTGTTCCCTGAAAACTGCACCTGAACGAGGAACCAAACTAGGTCCTGAGAAGAAGAAGTGCAAGCTGCTTCTGTTCTGTCTCTGAACCACCCAAAGTTGCAGGGGAAAGACCTTGCATTTTGCACAGGGCTGGTCTCCGTGCAAGCATGCAAGGGGGCTGACGTGGAGCAAACGTCTAGGAATGGTGGCTCGGTCATCTTCCAGCCATCCTGCGTGACCTGGGACACCCCCTTGAACTCCTCTGTGCCTCTCTTCTCTCACTTGCCAGCTTCCCTGGGGCATTGCGAAGCATCAGGCTCGGAGGCCAGGGGCTGACATCAGCACCATTAGTGCTAATCGGGGTGGAGACCTTTTGCATTCGTGTGAGTGGTGACAGATGCAGTAATGGAGCCTGCCCAGCCCTGCCTGCAGGCCCCGAGAAGGCCATGAGATTGCATCCCAGGCACCTGGAAAGGACTTAGCCACGTCCGGACCTCCCCACCCTCCCTGTGGAGTACTCTCCGCCGTTCTTGCCACCTCTTAAAACATCTGTCCTCAGTTTTTCCTTCTCTAGATTTAAAAAACCAACCCATTCTTTCCATCTTTCCTCATAGATTACTGACCCTTTCTGTTGCTCTTCTCCGGACATTCGCTGGTTGGTCTACAGTGCAGTGCAGTGCCCAAAACTGAACACAAGAGTCCTCCCTTTCTGTGCTGATCGCGGATGAAAACCGCTTTGAATGTGCCACAGCTCAGCCAGAACAGGAGAGAAGACACATCACAAGCCGGACAGGCAGTGACTCAGGCAGGCCAACATTTCCCAGGGAGATAAAGTTCTCCTCCAGCTTTGTTTGCTGCTGGTGGGGTGGGGTGAATGGACGGGAGGGGAGGGTGCTTCTCTTTCAGCTGATCTCTTTTAAGAAGAGCTGCCATTCTTCTTCAGAAAAAGGAAGACGGCTTTGTGATGGCTGACAAAAGGATTATCCACACAATGGGGAGACAGACACTGCCGGGGACCTGACATTACCTCCCTTCTCGAGGACTTGGGAGCTTTGGGAGCTCCTTGTAGACTCTAAGCATATTATGAGGCATGCCAGCTGCGGTACAGCAATGCTGAATGGTGCAGCTATACTGAATTCAACCCACAAGCTGGTCACTTGTCACGGCCAGCGGCCAGGACACGACACGTCAGAAGAAGGTTAAAAGATTTTGTCCAAGTCAACCTGGAAAACTGGTGGAGAATCCAGGAATCCAAACTCTGCCATAGATTAACACGGTCAGTGCATGGGCATCGGATCAATTTACCGTGGCGTAAAAAGGGAAGGGGATTTCACACACAGTAACTGCTCATGTGCATACTCCTACCCCAGAGTAAATGGAAGAGCACCCGTGGTAACTTCCCCCTCATTCACTCAGGACTTCACCCAGATCCTTTCCCACTTCTTAAGCAACTAAGTGGATGTAGCTGCATACGTGAGATCCTATTTGAGTCCCTGAAAAAGAGCTGACACAACATGCGCGTGGGTCCGCCTGCTCCTCCACAGTGCATATTTGTGGCCCAGTCTTAAGGCGAAGAGGATGGTGTGTTATCCACGTAGGTATGTTGGCGCTTTTCCCGAGACCCAAGCACAATGACATGGGGTCATTCTTAGGCACCAAAACCCACTGGTCCTGAGTGAGCGAGGTTTAGCTAACCCCTGCTCAGGGTAAGCACGTATACACTGGGTGCACCTACACGAGCACTTAATGTGCCTGAATAAACTCTGGTGTAGTTTGCGCTGGAGTTTATCGCTCCTGGGCCCAGAGCTTGCACATGGTCCTGGGACTGCAGCATGTTGAGCCAGGGTGGTGATGCATACTGGTTGGGGCACGAGGGTGCTCCAGTGCAGGGTTAGCCGGTCACCGTGTACACATGCATTGTGGCAGAGTAGACAACTCTGCCATAAGATAGTACTTGTGTTGGCCTGTACTATCCTACAGTGGAGTGAATTCGTTTACTCCAGCCCAATCACACCGCATGTGTCATGCTTTGCTGCAGAGCTAATTAGGCAACTGCTGTCAAGTGCACGTGTAGATGCCCCCGCAGACACTCACCATGGGGCACTGATGCCCAGTCAAGCCCCCACCTTCCTCTACCCCCCAATAGTTTGTTAGTGTGTCCGCACCCTTAGAAACACATTGTCCCCGATAGACAGAAGGCCAGATGAGTGCTTTCAATTTTTGATGAGCTCCTTTAGGAAAGGACCCTGTTAGACAGGCAGAGTTTTACCGATCTTCCCAGAAGGAGATGAAAGGACCATTATCAAAATGTCAGCAGAAAAAGGCTGGCAACCCAGATGCAGCGCATGGTGCCACTTCTTCTGGAGGGGACAATGCAACACAGCCTACATGGCCCAGCCGAATTGCACCCGCTGGGCTGTGCAACATGCGAACCTCTACCAGCGTTACACAGAGGGAGTCTAAAGACTAGCTCCATCAAAGAGCATAAAGTGAGATGGATCTGGGCAGTCCAATCCAACCCCCTCTCGGCTGCCTCTGGCCATCTCTGGGTGCTTCAGTGGCTGGTATTAAGGTTGCACAGGAGTCTACCTGCTTCTTGGCATGCACAGGAGAGCCTTAATTTTGACGGGGCAGAGCAGCTTCATGCTGGGTTCCTACCTGTGCCTCACTGGAAAGGGACTTCAGGCTGTGATGCCATGTGGCACCTCCACATGGTGCAGTCAAATCTCTAAGTGTTGGTCAGCATCATGGGTGGCAGCACCCATCCTGAGCTCTAAACAAGGCAATCTGGGTAGCAAAAGCAGTGTCAATGCAGCAGCAAGGAGATCCTAGGTGCAGGGTAAATTTGCCCATGTCTGCCATGCTTAGTTGGTCATTTAAAGCCGGTTCAGGTGATTGCAACCATGGTGTTGCAGCACCCCGGGGTGCCATGCGACCCTTTAAAAGTGCAGTATAATATTAGCACTGCTAGATGTGCAAACCCCTACCTACACACAGTTCACAAGACAAACTCAGAGATATCAAATGGGAATCCAGAGGGTCACAAGTGTTCTGCGCTGCAGTGGGATTTCTGAGTTCTTCGCAACATAAGGATTGCTGTTTTATTTTCTTTCTAGTCAAGAGATGAGTGGAAGCTAAGAAACAAGTGGCAGGCAGCACGGTGCTTAGGGCCATTTGGCTCAGGGCTATCGGTTCGATACGCCGGCCGGGCAGCGCAGAGAAGTCTGCATTGCTGCTCTCTGCGCTGGCCCAGCACTGGGATAGACCCCTTCATCCCCCAGGTCTGCCACTCGCATCTCTATCACTGCATTCACTCTGGGAAATAAAGGGCTCTTTCGTCTTCCTCCCCAGCCATCCCGGAGTGATACAGGATGAGATACACATCAATATTGTTCTTTTCCATTCAGGTAAGTGCTCTTTTCAGCTAATTTCAGCACTAGCGGCTGGGATAATAATAGGCCCTCTGTAAACTTGTTGAGAGTAATGCAGCCCTTGATGAGGAGGATAAATTGATGTGGAGCGGAGATAGGCAGAATCACTAAGGTGGATGCGCCCTCAGTGACTGCTCTACTAGGAGCTGATCCAGTTTTCATTGAAGTCTTATTAACTTCACCAGGACTCAGATCAAGCCCTTAGAAGTACAGGCATTCAGATCCTGTATATATGCAGGTAATTGTTTCCTTGACTAGCTGACCGGGCACAGCATTTTTTTTTTTTTTTTAATTTGCCTCCCAGAACAAAAGTCCCAGACTTCAGAGCCTCTGAAGAGATGGTATTTTCTCCAGCCGGGCTGAGCAGCGACTTTGGGTCGTGTGCTGGTGACTGACAGTGAATTAATATTCTTCTTGGGCCAATGCTTCGTTATTTGTCTCCATCTATTCCTATTGCTGGAAATTCCCATGATGAGCTCCTCGGTGTTGCTCTGTATTACCCCTCCTCCTCCCCCTTGGATGGTCACCAGGTCAAACGTGATAGGAATGGCTTTCCAGGAGACCCTCATCTGGCCATATCCCTGCTCAGTGATGCTCCTGAGTCTAACTGCCTACCCCGACCACAGAAATCATTGGGGATTTCACTGCATTGACTATACTGATTTTCCACGCATCTGTCAAAGTGCGCTGGCCCTCCAAGTTGAGGCTTGGGTGTTAACAGCCAGACTCTGCAAAAAGCTGAGTTTTTGTGAAATTCTCAGAGACATTCCTAAATACTAGATAGCAATAGCTGACTCCTGTTACATCAGTGAGAGCTGAGAGGACAATGTAGGTATGTGCCGGGGACAGATGCTGGACCTCACACCTTCAGTATCCAAGGGGGAATCGGTGTTCACAACAACAGCACACAAAGAAAAGACCATAATGTCACCGTGTTATTTCCTGTAGACCTGTAGCCTTTACTCCTAGTGACTTAATTAGCACGTTTGATGGAGTTTGGGTCCATCTTCACACCCCAAGCAGCCTGCACTGTGCCGAGCTGTGCAATCTGTGGTTGTGCCTGCACGGCGCGTCTTGGTGTGAAAACAAGAGTGGAGAATTGCACTCCAGAAGAAACCAGACTCCAACAGAAATATTGCAAGGCCAAGCTAAAGGGAATGGGAGTCTGAATGGGGACTTTACATTTCTGAACCTTTACAAGAGGCCTCCCTTGGGACTCACCTTGCACTTTGCTCAGACAAGGAAGCCTGGCAGAGGCAAATTATATCTCTGCTGTGTGTTGTGCACTGCCTGACAGTTCACTTCTGGATGATGGGAAGAGTGCTGGTTACTCCCTGCCAAGCCCTGGATGCTCTGTGTCCAGGCTACGCCCTGCATCCTAACCGGTGGCTCTGCACCAAGATGAGTGAGTTTGCGGGGACCAACCCAAGGTGCCTTAAAGGGGAACAGCTGAGGCCCACCCTCTGTGACGTAGCCCATGTGAAGTAGCTCGAGTCAGACACCCAAACACGAGGCAGCCCCAATCACAGGTCACTTGGACACATAATTCTTCTTCTTACACATTGCTCAACTGATTGCAAAGGTCAGGAGAGTGGTCACAAGCAACCAAGTCATAATTTATCCGATCAGGCCATGGATACAATATCAGGCGATACCGCAAGTCCCGGGACTGCGTTCAGCTGGCACAAATAACTGAGTGTAATGGCACAAATAACTGAGTGTAATACATAAGACTATGATGAGGCTGTAGCAGGGGTTCAAGGGTTGGGGCTTTGGGACACAAACTTCCTGTGCCATCTTGGGCAAGTCAGTGGAGGCAGAGTAGATGCCCTTGTGTTGTACCCAGGTACCATATTGGGTCAGATCAATGGTCCATCAATCTCAATATCCTGTCTCCTGTTTCCCTGTTACTCCCCCACTCACATCTCTGGGCAGAGTTTACATCCAGAGGCTCCTTTGAATTGTTCAGTGGCCACGTGCTTTACTCCGCGTCCCCTTCTGTCTCCCTTGTTATTAACCTATGACCCTCACTCCCTTCCCTGTTTCCTTTTTAGTTGTTCCCCAAATAAAAAGGAGTATGTGGCTAGCCTTCCTGATTAAGGGGGGCTTATAGCACTGGAGCAGGTGACCCAGAGAAGCGGTGGAAGCTCCCTCCTTGGGGGGGTTTCAAAACCCGGCTAGACAAAGCCTTGGCTGGGATGGTCTAGCTGAGGCTGGCCCTGCTTTGAGCAGGGGGTTGGACTAGATGTGACTGACTGAAGTCCCTTCCAAGCCTCATTTTCTCTGATTCTGTGATTCGAGTGTTTTCTTGCAGGCATAAACCCATGCTCCCAAAGGTGCAGCAAATAGGCCTGAATCCAGCAGTGGCAGAGATAGAGGCTACACAGGGAGAGCACTGAACCAGGTATCTCTAGGTGACCTGTCCCCTATCCAATGCCCTTCCTGGCATCCGACATGCGAGGGTGCCCGGTGTCGGTGAACTGCTGGCATGGCCCTTGCTCCAGTAGTGCCAGGAACACAGGTGTGATGCCTGCCGCTCCCCTCCTCACATGCCTAAGCCTGGAGATAAGGCAGCGCGGTAGCCCTGAGTGCAAAAGGACAGGGCATCTAAGAGCAGTGCTGGGAGCACACTCAGCACCACTCAGGGGTCAATTTGGGTCAAGTCGGAGCGAGTGGGTAGGGCACACCTCTCCGCGGTGCTCCTGGGCACAGCACAGAGGCAGGACAGGTACCGTAACACCAAACTAGGGCATTTCCATTGCACCTCGGTTTCCCATCGTACTTCCCTACCCCATAGCAGTAGGGTGTCCTGAGATGGCAACCAGGAGAGACACAGAAACTCTTACAAGCTCCTGTGGGTGACTTTGAGGGGCTGGACCCGATGATCTGCAAGGTCCCTTCCAGCCCCTAATAGTCTATCGAACAATCTGTGAATTTTCATCACCAGCTGATGGGTCTATTCCCCCCTTCCCCCAAGTATTAGAAATGAAGGACTGTGACTTGTTTAAATCCCTCAGGACAATAGGGAAATGAAGCTAAAATCCAGCAGAGTAGCTGTTAACCGGGGAGGGGGGCGATTCTCCCACCGCCTCTGAGCCCAGCAGAGACACGGACGATTGGGTTGACTCCTTTCATTGAAGTCTAGCGTCCACCCTTCCCTGTCCTTGCACTGTCCCCAGGTCCTGCCAGAGAAATCAAAAGAAAGGCTTGTTCAGGGCTGCGACTTGCTAGCACTGCAGGCTGCATGCACTGGGTGGTTACTTATTTTCTCTTTTCTTTTCCTGAAAAGGGCATGATTTAACTCGATAGGAAACAACTTACCAGTTCCTTCCTGAGCCAGTTCAGAGCTTCATCAATGCTCCCAAAGCCGCTGAGTTTCCCGGAAGGGACAGTCACTTTCTCCTGGGAAGTACTCCCATTGAGATGTACCTGGACCTTCCTTACAGGGGCAGCTTCCTCCGAGGGTTTTTTGGGCTCTCTCACGGCTTCCTCCGCAGACGGCTTAGGGCTCTTCCAGGCTTGCTCTTCAAGCTTTGCCTTCCACTCCAAGTAGGAAGGGCGCCGGGTCTCCAGCCTCAGTTTCTCCGTCAGAGCCTTCAGACTTCTCAGGTGGTCGTCAGCAGGGGCAGCGCTCGAGGACACGGCATCGGCGCCGTCTCCCACCTCCTCTATTTGGATTTGTGGCAAAGACATCCTCTTTTGCAGCAAAGAGTCCCAGGGGGGCAAGGGCAAAGTTCAGGACAACAGCCAAGGCTGGGGAATCCTTATGGTAGGGACAGCTTCCATCTGTGGGCTCGATGCATTGGGGCAAGCTCTCCAGAGAGGATCAATCACATCGGCATCTTCCCCGTTCAGGCGTTGCTTGGATTGGGGGAAACATCTACAAAATAAAAAGGATTTGTTTCAGCTGCCAGAAGCAAAAGCTGAGCGACAGCTCTTCCTCCAAGCTGGTGGAGCACAGTGCGTGCCAGGCTTGTTGGAAACCACTGTGCCGAGCCGTTCCCGGGGTTATGTTACTCCTTCAGCTTCCAGGGGGTGTTCCTGGGCAGGAACAGGCAAGCTCTGAATTTTACAGCAACCTCTTTCACGAAGATCTTGCAATCTTTAGGCTTCAGACTGGGTGAAGGCTGCTAATGGGGTCAGGGAGAACTCGCCTTGGTCTCCCATTACTGGCTTCATGGTCCCCTGGGCCACAGCACTCACCAAAACTGAGCAACTGAGCAAAACCTCTGCTTTAATTGTGGCCACAAGCTACATCAGAGTAGGTCAAGGGGTTTCCCAAGGGCCAGGGATTGGGGGCCACTGGCATAACCAGGTGCCTTCTGGTGCCAATCAGGTGTTGCAGAGAAGCTGCTGATCTAGACGGACCGTGGATTTATTCCCCACCAGACATTCCCTATATCCTTCCAGCTAGGGATGGGAAAACAGATGAAAGAAGAGCCAATGCAAATGTATTCTCAGAACTGAAGCCACATTGGAGTTTGGCTACCTCTTTTTTTTTCCAGCCTAGCTTTTCAGAGCTAAGAGGTCCAGTTACATGCAATTAGATTTGCTCAGGCATCCAGACTGGTGCTCCCAAACCACTGCATTCAGAGGTGCAACCCCCTGACATGCTTGGGGTTGGAGACTGGCCAGGTCATGATACAGGGGGCTGCTGTGACGGGATTGAAAGCTTCATGGGGTGGGACTGGGGGGGTTGGTTGTGCTACACCGAGATCAAACCTGGACTGTTAAATACATATACTTCTGCCTGACTTGCTTAGTGCCTGGCTGGTACTCACCTTGCACTGCTCTCCTTTCCCGTGAAGGTAGCAGAGTACTTTGCAGAGACCTCCCAGCTTGGATGAAGTTCAGCAGAGGTGAATTCAAGAAGCGCAGCTCCTACTCCTAGCTTCCCGGTGAACTCTGCTTTCTTCCTCCGTGCCTCAGTGGCCCCATCCGTCAAATACTCTAGAAAGCCTTGGGAGATCTGGGAATAAACAGCCTAGGTAAGAGTTAAGCATAGCTATGACACTGGCTTCACTGCTGGCTGATGCCAGGCACAGATATGTGACTTTCTGAAGGTCACGCGTTAGGTCTGTGGCTGCACTAGGAATAGATCCAAGGTTTGTATCTACGCGGATAACGCAAAACAAAAATACTTATTGCCTGCTTGGTAGCATGCCCGGAAAGAGCTGCCGGGATGGATCCAACCGTCGAGCTGAGCACATTAAACTGTTGTAATCTGAGTTATTCAGCAGTTCCTCTGCCTGCTACTTACGCCCACAAAGACTCGTGTAACTCTGAAACCAAGACCATAATTACGCCTCTCAAGTCTTTTCAGAGAAGATTCAATTTAGAATAAATACCAACAGAGAGCAAGGTTTGCCCCGCCATCGTAGACAGGCGCGTGAACCGAATGGGAAGCCATGTATAGCATGGGATGCTATACATACAGACGGGCTGAGGGTGGGGAATTGTTCCAATTACAGGCTTGTTCCTGCTCCCATTTGAGGCAATGGGAGTTTTCTTGGGGACAGAGGAGATCCTCGTTGTGCAGGGGACCTGCTGAAACAGCAGAAGTTTTGCATCGGTTGACGCAGAGGGCTGGGCATTAATAAGAGATCTGGGCTCATCCCCTTTGGGGCTCTCCGTGCGAGCTTGGGGCGGTGATGTACCGTGACGGTGACGAGTCTGGGCACCCCCTGCTCACCTGTCTCACCTGCTGATGTGTTTCCGAGCCAGAAGCTCACCAGTGAGGTTGGTCCAGGCTCTTCCCCAGCACCTGCTCCTGAGATCTCCGTCTCCAGCAAGCCTGAGAGCAAGTGTGGGGACATGTCCAGCACAATCCTGCCGGAGGAGGGTGGGCTCTGGAGTCCAGCAGTGGGCTCAAGACAGCAGGACTGGCTCAGCCTCCCGGAGACTCACCATCCCTGCTCTCTCTCCCCCAGACCCTCCGAGGTCTGCAGGTGTCTAAACCCCCTTAGCATCACATGAAGGGCCCCTGTGCTTGATATGAGGTCCATAATCCTTACTGGGCAGCAGCAATGCCCAGAAGACCTATTCATGGCCTCGTTGCTCTTTCACTCTGCTGCGACCTGTACCCACTCCTCAATCTGCTGGGTGGGTTTACATGCTATTCGTTCCTCCAAACAGATATAGGCCTCCCTCGCATGGCTGAGGGTATCCCACCTACCTGTTTCTGCTCCATGCCCATCAGCCCTGGAAGTGATTCATATGGAGCAGGAAACAGAGGGAAGGGATTATTTTGTAGGCGCGTGGCTGCACACCAGGAGAATCGCGATGGAGACACAGCCCATCTCCTACTGCCTGCGCACGGCGGAGAGGGAGAGCCCCAAAACCACCGCCACAAGATCAGGCCTTTCACCCAAGCCGGAGACAAGCAACTTTCCCTTTGCTCAGGTCCTGCTCGGGGGACTGTCTCTCTTTGCCGCCATCTCGCTCTTTCTGCCAGGAGATTTGCGCTGCAAAACGAACGGTGTCAGTCCAGTAGCACCTTTGCCCCAAGGGACAAGGAGCCATTTCCACTGAAACGCTACTCCTCGTTAGCCTGCCCAAGACAGCATGAATTGATTGGCTTTTATGGAAATGTGCGTCCCCTCAGCTCCTTCCAAACCACAAAAGGGACTTCAGCTTTGGCTTCCCCAAAATAGCTCCTCCCTGCATCAGCGGTCGGTTGTGGAAATGGTTTGGAAAGCCATTAGCCTGCAAAAATGTGTGTGTGTCTGGGGGTACATAACAAGCCTGACTCTAACTCTCTACTGCGAGCGCTATCAGCCGCTTGCCGGGATGAACAGGATGCTGCTCGAGTCCAAGGCACTAGGGCAACTTCTCCCCTGGGGACAAGGGGAGGTTAACTCTTTTGCCATCTTCTTTCATAGATTTCACAGACGTTAGGGCTGGAAGGGACCTCGGGAGATCATCCAGTCCAGCCCCCCGCTGCAGGGGCAGGAAGTCAGCTGGGGTCACAGGATCCCAGCAAGATCATCCAAGGATCCCAGCAAGATCATATGATGTCCCAGGGCACAGAAAAAGGAGGGATATTTGGAGCCCCCTTTACTTGCTTTGATCATCACCAATAACATCACTGGTGTGAGTGAATTATAGGCTGGTTGCTCACAACAGAAAAGGAGGTGGAGATAGTGCTAGGAAGGATTTCATCTTGAATGGTGAGATTCATGACTTTTTTACTCTTCTGCTTAATCAAGTGAGACACTTTAACATACCCGCCCCTCCAAAATTCATCATCTCTACCTTGTCCAGCGTAGACGGCAGCCCCATCACAGCACAGGCCTTGTCTGTAGTAAGGTGTAAGGGGTGGATCACCCTCAGCTCCCATGAATTTCCATTCAAGCTAAGGGCATTCAGCACCTTGGAAGGTCAAGGGCACTGTACCAGCAGGTTGTCTGTCTTCTTTTGTATGGATACAGGGTAGGGGGAAGAAAGCAGGGGGAAAAACTTTGGGGGGTGGGGGGGAACCACGTAAAATGAGATTTGGAGCAAGGGGCAAAATTAACATTGGATCTAAAGCCAAAAATGAGCAAATGAGTCCATCACTTCCAGTATTCCTGATCGCTATAACAACATTTGGAGGAGTTTGATTGCAACGTCCTTGACTATCCTACCTATGTGTTCACTGAGAAAGGAGTCAGTTAGCAGCAAGTCATTGGGCCTCCTTTGTTTCAGGACAGCATCTTTGCAAGATCTTTCCTTAAGGGATCTCAGAGGAAAGCAGCTGGCATGCTGGATGGAGAGTGGGATGACAGCCCTGGCTTGGACTGCTGGGTCACCTTGAATCTCTTCGTGACTCAGTGTCCCCATCTGTAAAAAGTGTAACGGTCCTGAGTTGCTTTATAAAGTATTTTGGGAGCTGTGGTTGGGAAGTGCAAATGCAGTAGAGCCTGCACGCTAAAACACAAGATGTCAATTAAAACCAAGCTATTTGGTGTAAGACACTGTGGGGCCACTCTTATTGCAGAACGAAAGGCGCTGGAGCCTCTGTAGTTACCAGCAGTATCTGAAACTAGCCCCCACCCATTTCAGCTCCTGGAATAAAATGCATGCACATACACTTCTGTATGCAAACTATCCATGCACACACACAGGCTTGTGCCAACGTTGCTCAACAGGTTTTTAAGAAAACAAGTTAACTGAATCACTACAAACATATGCGTCGATCTTGCTTCTGAGTCAAACCCGGGGGGACAAGAGAAAGGCTCTTCCTTTATCATCACCTTCATTGTTATTCTTTATATATTTGTATAGTGATGGCCATAAGGACCCCAGGCGGGGATAGGACCACATTGTGATACCTATGCACCAGCATAGGACGGAGATGGCACCTATCTCAAAGGCCCTACAACTCTAAGGGACCCTAAAAGGGGAAAACACTGAGGGTGGAAATCTCAGCCCACCTGAAATGGTTTCCTGGAAGCAGTCACCAGGACGAGCGGCAGAACAGCTCAGGCTCCCGCACTGCAACACAGGTTTGGGCTCAATGGATCCACGTAGTGCAGTGGCTCTCTTTTCTGGGTGGGGTCATGTACCCCTTGTTAAGCTTACTACACTGCTGTGTACCCCACTGTTTCTCTGCTATGGATAATAAAACTGTAATGCTGGGTGTTATGACAGTCATATTGCAAGCTCTCCACTGACCTAGAGATTGTGGAGTAGCCCTTCAATTTTTAATTCTTTTCCCTTTTTCTTCCCTTATGTTTCCCCTTTCCTTTCCTTTTCATTCCTACCTCCAATGAGCCCTCTAGAAGTTCACTGAATGCTCCCGGGGGTATTCATATCCTAGCCTGACAAGCACCGCTATAGCAAAAAAAGATCCATTCCCTGTCCTACCCCAGTGCCCACTCAGTGGGAACCCAGAGATCTCCATGATGCATGCTGGGTCTCTTTAGACAGCAGTTTCTTTTTGTTTTGGATGGACTCACAATTTAACCAGAGAGGTCACAGAGCTGGGAGGTATTGACTGCTTACCAAACAGCTCTTCATGTTTACCCAGAAACTTCCTCTCCTGGGAATAGAAAAGTTAACGTCTGGCCACAATCCAGCCAGACCTCTGGGCTTGTGGGACAGCATATGTTTCATCCAAGAAAGCACCACGCATATAAACTTCAGGACAGAGGCATCTAATAGCAATGAGCATATACAATCAATGCAGCCTCCAGAGGGATGAGTCCAAATGTTTAAGACAAGCAAGTGCCTGCTCAGTAAAACTCTCCACTGAGTGGATGCTCCTATAATGGGCCTCCATATAATGGACCTCCAGTAATGGGCCTCTGTTGTGCGGGTTGCAATGAATTAGGACAACTGAGCTTCCCAGACGGGAACATGAAACATGGGCAATAACTCTCGTTAGAAGTTTTTCACTGCCCAATGCAGGGAATGGGATCTGGGTGTTGCACCCTACCTGCTCTCATGGCTAGAGGCAAGGCATCCCCATGTAACAGAGAGGCTGCTGCTAGGAGGACTTACCTTCCTACCAGTTTCCCCATCCCTTAACCCAGTGGTACCCAGTCTATCTGCCCTGTGTGTCAGATGAGTAGTGCTGGGTCTAGATTGGAGATCCAGAAAAAAAACTTCTTCACTCTTACAACATGGAGGCAGCCTAGGGAAGCTGTGGACCCTCCATCCCCGGAGGTATTCAAGAAGAGGTTGGACGGCCACTGGTTCGGGATGATCTAGGTGTAGTGATGCCTCTGTCCTACCACGGGTATTTCCCATGCTTCTAGGCTTTGCTGGTTGCCCTCAACCCCTTTTTTGCTAGGTGTCAGGTTGTTTTTAAGCCTTCCCCAGAGGCACTGGGGTTGACTGCAGCCAAGGCTGGGGATTTTGCTGGGCTGTGCCAATGCTCCTATTGGGACCAAAGCTAGTGAGTCTTGCCCCTCTGCTCAGGATCAGACCGATTGCTATCTTTGGGGTCAGGAAGAAATTTTACTCCATGGTCAGACTGGTACGGAC